AAATTGCCCTCCCCCCATATGTCTACCCCCCACCCCACATGTCTTCACACCCATACATCTACCCCCCACCCTATACATCCCTGCCCCTCACACGTTCCCGCCGCCCCACACATGCAGACAAACAGATACACTCATACATACCTACAGACACACATACAAACACACATACACACAGAGACCCATACATAGAGACACACACACAGACTCATACATAAACTCGACATGTAGACACGCACAGACACACATACATACAAACACACACATACACACAGAGACACATACAGACACACACACAGACATACAGACAGACACACACACACACAGATATACTGATACAGACATTCTCTATCACACACACACACATATATACAGACACACACAAACACACACAGACATACTGATACAGAAATTCTCTATCACACACACAAACTGTTAAAAAAGTTTAGTGACTTACCTGGGGTCCAGTGGCTGCCTCATGCTGATGGTAGTCAGAGCTCCCACTCTGACTCCCTCCTCTCCTCCTGCGCGGCGCTCAGTTGGCTGGGAGGAATTGATGGTTCCTCCCAGCTCTGACATCATCACTGGGGCCCGGTCATGCTCTTAGAGAGCCGCAGCGCTGACCAGGCCCTAGGAAATCCAGTGCCCCGATGGGCTCCTTCAATGTGGCCCCAATGTTTTTTCACGCGGTTGGGGCCGTACCAAAATGTTGGTGGGCACCCTGGTCGCAGGGGTCTACAGGGCAGCCGGCCCCCCTGGTATGACGGCCCCGGTCGCAGCTGCGACCTCTGAGACTGCGGTAGTTCCGCCAGGGATGGTAGGGATATCTGTATGGGAGAGATCGTAACTTTGTGAGTCAATAAAAAAATGACATTCTAAAAGCAATTAAATAAGATTTTACAGAGAACTATCATTTTATCACATTTTCTATCCACATTTTATGTATCCGTGTAAAATGGATACAGACTTTCTGCATTGCAAGTGAGATATAATCCAGAAAGTACTTGTTAAATTCAATAAAAGCATCTTCCATAATGCTAATGTAGCAACTGCGTTGAAAAAGAACCGGATTACCAAATGCAAATGCATAAAGCACATACAATCCAGTTTAGATACGCCGATCATTTCGATTTTGTGTTAAACTCTATGTTTCTATGTACAGATGTAATGAAGCTTGCTGTTCTATGAACTGTGCATAATATATAAAGTCAAGCAACTTCATATGACAAGATATGAAATAGTGATCATGACGTATCTGACATGAGGTTCTACATCCTGTAATAATTCAGTTATTCTGGAAATAGTCAAATTTATCTAGCCATTTATTTGACCACAGACTGCCAGGTAAAAAATAATAACATGTTACTGCTTCTTGAGTTTCCCCCGAGATACGTCTTCCTACCACCTGGAGCTGCTTTTATTAGGTAAGTGTTGTTACCATAAATAAAACCCACAGCATGAACTTTAAAATAGATCCTCTTATAGAACTAGTAAGAAAAACAGATCATGTAATTTAACAAGCAAGAAACTCTGCAATGGAAAAAAAAGGCATGGATAAAAATAGAAATGTCCAGATGACAACCTCGATACCTGGAAACTCCTTGTTTCTCCAGCCTGCACTAGAAAAGTCCTGCTTATCAGTCCCATGATGAAACAAGGCCTATTGAGGTTACATTTTTCATCCCTTCCTTGTATTTTAGAATCATGCCTTCACTGGAGTCAAAACAGGCTGCAAGATTATACCTATAATGGACCAAATCTTCCCTTTAATTAATCCCTTCAATAACTCAGTTTAAGCAGGCTTTAGCTCAGTTATGTCATTGTTATGTCATTATACTGCAGGTGAAACGATTCCACTTGGATATCCCTTCCACAGCCCAGTATAAGTCCACTGCAAGAAACACTGTAACCCCAAATGACTCTTTCTATGTCCTTTGAGTTTTCATTGATTAGGTGTTGCTGATACCCTTTTAACAGAGTGAATAACGAACCAACCTTTCTGCCTTAGGGAGACCCTGATCATATGCAAAATAACCTAAAACAGGAAGTGAGAAAACAGACAAAACATAAAGGCTTTTTTTCTGACTAAGAAAGACTTTATCCCACTCCAAAAGGCTGTCGACAGCTTTGTATGGAATGGAAAAAGGCATAGAGTGGCACGTAATATTTCATATCGTCAGAAATTGGCGGGGCGGACTCAGCCTCCCACACTTATACTATTATTATTTCCGAGCGCCGCAATTGGCGCAAATCACACTGTGGCACTCACCACCTGACAAACGTAGATGGGTGGATCTAGAGTCACTGCTGATGGGAGCTGACCTCCCAAAATTCTATATCTGGATCCCTAGGGAACAAAGAGCTTTCTTAAGAACCGACTGCCCAGCTATACTCTTCTCCCTCCGGGTGTGTGACAGGTGCGCCCAGAAATATGACCTCAGAAAACCACAATCCCCCATGATGCCCATACTACGCAATAGAGCATTCCTACCTGGAATGAAACCTAGAGACTTTAAAGGGATTGAATATGCAGGTATCCAAAGAATCTATCAAATGTACCTAGGTGACAACATCATCCCACATAATGACCTTAAAAATAGAACAAGACTAACAACGTCAGACTACTTCTGGTACCTACAGGTCAAGGACTTTGCCCAACAATCACACATCAAAAAGGCAACCCGAACACAGCTAACATTCTTTGAAAAGATTTGTGATGCAGAAACTTACCAAAAAGGTCTCATCACCAGGCTTTATTCACAATTATGCACCAACACGGCAGACTGGGGGGGACTGCGTTACACAGATCAATGGGAAGCTGAGCAAGGGAGACACTGGAGGACACTGACTGGCAGGACATCTGGAAGGCCAATGGAGGGACCTTAATATGTGTTATGATGCAAGAACTATCGTATATCACATGCACAAAACACCGACCAACCAATGTTGGAGACTATGGGGTGGGACTGCCCCCGGGTCCAAACGCTCTGGGGAAAAGTAAGCAAATTAATAGCAAACATTTTCCATAGACCAATGACGCCTGACCCATGGGTACTCTTACTATCTAGACCACTCGACGGATGGACAAGACCAGAACAAAAACTGATTCACAAAATTGCCCTGGCAGTCAGAAGAACAATAGCTCAAACCAGGCTATGGTTAGAGGTCCTATCTGTTGACATCGTGCTACTAAAACCTAAAGATACTTACTTAATGGACAAATTGACCGCCCAAGTAGGAGGAACGCTAAAAACATTTACTAAGGTATGGGAGCCATGGGAGTCCTTCCTCGACAACTCAACTTAAACTAAACTACTAACTTGGGTCCGATGGCCCCAGGGTGGGCGCGAGCTCCACTAGATTAGTTTATGGATCCGCCCCTGTCTGGGCAGTTGCTGCCTGTTGAGTTTTGCTCCATTGAGCTAAGCAATCTATGTTTTTTGTATTAGAAGAATGTTAATTTGCAGAGGCCAAGTGACACTCAAGTTTTGTCTAGTAAGGTGTGAGAAAAGAAACACAGTTTTAGACTAAGCCTTGCATGGCAATCCAGAAAAAGTCATACCTATTTTCTTCTATTTACACAAATAATTAAAAAAGGGAAACTTTAATTTATTATGCAAAGCACTTAAAGAGTTCTGTTTCTAGCACCATAATATCCTATTCTCTTAATCCAACTCCTGGTTTTGCAATATTTCTGCAACTAGCATTAGTTCATATGGTGTATATGCCATTTTGCTGTATGCGCAATAAAGGACACCGCTCCTCTGATATGCTCTCTTTGTACAGAGAAATCAGGTGTCTTTGTAACAAATATAGCTCTTTAGCTCTGTTCATGATAACAATTAACGCATATTTTGATAAAGTTAAAGGATCACTATAGTGTCAGGAAAACAAACCCATTTTCCTGACACTATGTCATCCTTGGGGGACCCTCACCCTCAGGGTCCCCCTCCCATGGCGCTGAATGGGTTAAAACCCCTTCAGCAGCTTACCTTAATCCCTCGGCGCTGGTGACCTCTCCTCCCCCGCAGACGTCAGCTCCTGAGTGGAGTGGAATGCGAATGCAAGGCAAGAGCCGCACGAACATTATAACAGTCCATAGGAAAGCATTTTTCAATGCTTTCCTATGGACATTCTGCACGCTGAATGCGAATTTTGCATCTAGCGTCGCAGAAACGCCTCTATTGGCTGTCAGCCAAGACAGCCACTAGATGTTGGATTAACCCTGCTATGTAAACATAGCAGTTTCTCTGTTTCTCAGTTTCTCTGAAACTGCTATGTTTACATGTGAAGGGTTAAAACCTGGGGGACCTGGCAACCAGACCACTTAATTGAGCTGAAGTGGTCTGGGTGACTATAGTGTCCCTTTAAAGAAGGCGTGTGGTTTTATTCATGTTTTTGCTGCCAAGGCTTTATAGATATGCTCAGCATAAAAATTCATAGTAATGAAAGGATTGTCTGACGGGTTTTCCGCTATATCCTGGTGTAAGAATTGCTCACTGCAGAGGCTGCAGATCCTGGGGTTTGCAACAAATTCAGGAACAAAAAAAATAGTATTGTACAGATTTTGCAATCTAATTTCATTTTATTTTTCTGAGATTATTATCCATAACATTTGATCACTAAAAGAGGGGTTCATTTCTCTTTGGTTAATTCCTTTAACACAAAAAATACATACATTTTGGGAATTGAGGTGAAATGGTTAAATTCTACTTCTTATTTATGTAGTACTTCCTAAATTACTCAACAAGGATTTCCACAAATAAATGCTAATTTGAGACAAAGAGTGTAAAAAGACACAAAAACTACAATAATTATTAAAGACTATGATTTAAATGACATGTTTTATTTAAAACCTTGTTGTACATTGTAGCAGTCCATTCCTTGTATACATTCTTTATAATTTAACCATACATAAGGTATATGATTATATTTTTATTTTATTAAATTAATACAATTCTTACATATTCTAAAACATTCTTAATAAAGGAATATTTATTTAAATTGCAAGTAAAACATTAACATTAATTGCTGAGAACACAATACACAATACTTTACAAAATACACAATACTTTACATTCCTTATTACATTCTGTTGGACCTGTAAGTGAATGAATGACAATATTGCACATTACAGCATCATTCATTCATTCCAAGAGGATTTCGCACACTGTTAATTTTGCAGCACAGCTGAAGAACAATTCACTTACGGGAACACTATAGTGTTAGAAACACAGCTGTGTATTCCTAACGCTATAGTGCCCTGGTTACCATTTAGGTGACTTGGCCCGGCTGCAAGGATTATAAGTGATATCACTTTACCTTTTCTCTCTTGCATGGCTGATCTTTGGTTTTCTGTTCCACCTCTTATGCTGAGATCATCAAGATTAATGATATCAATGCAAAGCTTTCCCATTGGACAGCATTGGGAGTCTAGTGCGCATGCACAGCCAAAAAACACTCTGTGCCAATCAGATGGCAGCCTCTGGAGGTGTGTTAAACCTGCAATCAACTCCAGCGGGACAGACAGTGCTCGGCAGAAAGATCGTATCTAATTATGTGCTTGCACCGTGCTCCATAAAAATCACGTATTTCTCTTTGGACCTTCTGAAACAATAGGGAATGTACACAATACACTAAACTGTACTTGTTTTGTTTTTTGAAATCTTATTAAAACAGCATCAAACAGTTTGGTCAAAACAGCTTCTGATTATAGGTGTTCTATTACTTATTGGCCTGCAGCCATCATGGTAGTGTAAGTACAAAAGGTTACATTTCCTGTTGTGATGATGTGAAACAACATGATTTAAAGCCACTTATGTGCTGCCTAGATGTCTTTAGTCATAAGCTGAACAAAAAGGAAAATTCAGGCAATTTAGTAACAAAAAGAAGCTATCAAATTTGGCATTATTTATTATTATTTATTATGCTATACCTTTACCAAGTAAGAAACAGATTGTCGTTCTCTGTAAAAAAAACATTTTTTTTTAGATAAGTTATTGATAACATATAGCTAATTATTTAAACTGGTTTAGAAATTTTATTTTACAAGAGTCATTTATAAAGAATTCTCAGTTATTAAAAGTATCCAAATGCAAGTATGTTATAAATAATGAATTTAAAAGTCCAGCTACCTTAGCTACTCTGTGTTACTTTATTCCATACATTCACTTAGAGTATTTCTATTATTAAAAAATGATAGTAACTCTGTGTATATTGTAAGGTGCATAAAATGAAACTGACAAAAAATATTGGGTCACATACAATAGTTAGGAATTTTAATTCTTGTAATTGTTTCAGCTTTCATGCAAAGTTGTTTATAGATTTTTTTTATAGTATAATTTTCAAATGATAGCAGCAGAATAAAAGCAATTAATAGTAAATGCAGAATAAAGGAAGGATTAGGTTAAAACTAGACAACGCTGAGTTTGAGTATGAAGCTAAGTTATTTCATCATGAGTTTTATCAATGATCAATGTTTCCTAGGTACCCGTTAAGCCCACTTAAGTTCACAATTATCATATAATGTCATATCTAATTCTAGATTCATCTTAACTACCATTTAGTCATCCTGATGGTATTTGAGAACACAACTGTCATTAGCGATGTTTTAACATTTGTGGATTAAAATTAGAAGCACTATTTGCCCATTGTTGGTGCCAGCAGTCTGCAGGCAAATAATTAAAAAACCCTATTTTATATTAACCCCTTCAGGACGGAGTCAATAGTACACGTTCTGATCAAAACAAAACGTAAACAAAAACAGGAATTTGCTCTATATGTCTGTTCACCCGTAATTCACCGCTGTCACATTAAGTGCACCCACACTTATTATACATAATTTTGTTCAGGAGAAACAGGGCTTTAATTTATCATTAATTATTCATATATGGAACATCATTTATTATGAATAAAATTATTATTTTTTTTAGAAAATAAGATTTTTTTTAAATTTGTATTTCCGTCTGACATTTTAGCTGTTAATGTCATAATACTGTTAGGTATTACTGCAAAAAAATGCACATATTTGTAATCAGCGATGTCTCACGAGTACAACAGTACCCCCCATTAACAGGTTTTATGGTGTTTTGGAAAGTTACAGGGTCAAACATAGAATGTTCATTTTCAATTTGAAATTTGCCAGATTAGTAATGTTACCTTTGAGACGGTGTGGTAGCCCAGGAATGAGAATTACCCCTATAATGGCATACCATTTGAAAAAGTAGTGTTTAGTCTTTTTTAGCAGCCACTTAGTCACAAACACTGTCCAAAGTTAGCGTCCATATTTGTTTTTGTGTGAAAAAAGCAAAAAACTAATATTTGGCCAGTGTTTGTGACTAAGTGGCTACTAAAAATGACTGGACATACCCCATTTGCAATACCTTGGGTTGTCTAATTTTGCAAATGGTATGCCATCATGGGGGTAATTCTTATTCCTGGGCTACCATACGCTCTCAAAGGCAACATAACCAATCTGGCAAATTTCAGTGTCAAAAAAATGAAATGCAAGCCTTAAATGTGACACTCTAACTTTCCAAAACACAATAAAACCTGTACATGGGGGGTATTGTTATTCTCGGGAGACTTCACTAAACACAAATATTAGTGTTTTAAAACAGTAAAACATATTACAACAATAATATAGTCCATAAAGGTGCCGTTTGTTTGTAAAAAAAATGCAAAAAACGTCACTCTTACTTAAAATATCATCGTTGTAATACAATTTACCAGTTTGAAACACTAATATTTGAGTTCAGCCCTTTAAAGCCGCGACAGCATAGAACGCCGTAACGGCGTTAAGGGGTTAAAGGACCACTATAGTGCCAGGAAACCATACTCAGGGTCCCACTCCCGCCGGGCTGGATGGAGAGGAAAGGGTTAAACACTTACCTTTCTCCAGCGCCGGGCTCCTTCGGTGCTGGAAACTCTCCTCCTCCTTTCCCCGTCATCGGCTGAATGCGCATGCGCGGCTCCCCTATAGACGCTGGCATCTTCTCACTGTGAAATCACAGTGAGAAGCGCGGAAGCGCCTCTAGCGGCTGTCAATGAGACAGCCACTAGAGGCTGGATTAACCCTAAAGTAAACATAGCAGTTTCTCTGAAACTGCTATGTTTACAGCAGAAAGGGTTAATCCTAGGTGGACCTGGCACCCAGACCACTTCATTAAGTTGAAGTGGTCTGGGTGCCTATAGTGGTCCTTTAACCATTTTAACATAACATAGTTTAAAAAAATGTAAATGTATAACCACTTAGCACTGCCAGTTGTAATATAATTAAAACATTTTCATAAATCTAAGCCCTGATTTTAAGTTTCGATTAAATCTGTTTCAAATCCAGGCTCATTCTGAGCCTGCTCTGTAAAATCCAAACATTGTTACATAGAGTGCACAATATACGGAATTTGTAGTCCAAATGACCCAGTGTTGCAGTAAATGCTTTTGCCCCATTTGGTACGGGCCATTCAGACCGTAATAATGTAATGTTGAAACAGGCCCTGGGGAGATAGCGCAGCTAAGCGGACAAGGGCACATGTAGGAGTGTGGGGATAGATGCAGGGGAGTGACTTGGGAAGTGTGTGTGGGAGGTCTTACCTCAGTGCCACTTGGGATACGGGCCAGCAAACAACTTCCTGTCCTCCTGCTCCAGTTTGCCTGGGCCTGCAGATTGACACAGCTTGAGGTGATGGATGTTGAGGAGATCCTGGCGTCCCTCAGGGCTGCTGCTGCGCTGGACGGTGGCCGGCAACTAAGGGAGCAATTTCAGAGCATTAGTGGAGGTATGGCTGCCGGTGTGGGCACCCCCCTTGGCCTACCTCCCCTGGAGCACCCCCTGTGGTCTCCCATGCGGCCCCCGCCCCTGGGGGCCGCACCAGCACTGGCAGGCGTTCCCGCCCGCCTGCCAGGCTGTCACCAGACAACACTCCTCTGGCCCGGTTTAGGAGCAGGACCCCGGGCCCGAGGCATCGCCAGAGCCGTGTGTCTGGGGCTCCAGACACGTGGCCTACTGCTGGAGGCCGGAATCTGCGGCCGCGCGGGTGGCACAGCCTTCAGCCACAAGGCCTGCCACTGCCGCGCGGCCTGCTCCATCCTTAGCCGCCCGGCCGGCTACTTCCAGGCCGGGGATGCGGCCTGCAACTGCTGCGCGGCCTCCTGGTGTGGAAGCCGCGCGGCCTACTCCTTCTCCCCCCTCCACACCATCCGCCCCGGCTGCCGGAGGAGCGGTGGGTGGCGGATGCAGTCCTCCGGGCGGCGGGCGGCCGCCCGGGAGCAGTCCAGGTCCCCCTGCGGCCGGTGGGGGGGGTAGGGCGGTGAGTGGGCCCTCGCGGGCCGCGCGGGGTACCCTGGTACCATCGTTGGGGATCAGGGGGGATCCCCTTGCCCATCGGGAGCCTCCTCTGCCAGTGAGGAAGGCTCCCAGGGCTCTGTCCCCCCTCCTTCCCCTGTTCATTCTATTTCTTCTTCCAGGGAGTCCAGCTTACCCTGGGCTGGGCCCCCTGGTCCCCCCTCCTCTTTTCCAGTGTCCCCTGCCCCCCCCTGGTCTGCCCCATCTAGTTTCTACCCCTCCCTGGCTGCCTCCTCTCTGTTGTCCTCCCCCACTTCTGCCTTGTCTGGGCCCCCTCCCCCCCCTGCAGGTCACTTACCTCGGCCATCTCCTCTGGGGCATGGGCTCACGTCTGCTCTGTTGCTTTCTTCTCAGCATACTGCTGCAGTTCATGGATCCGTCCAGCAGGTGGCGCCTGGAACACAGATGATGTCTTCTGTGGATGCTGGAACTGCTGATTCTTTGCCTTCTGTGGCTTGGATCGCCAGTCTGCAACCGGTAAGTACTTTGTTCCCTCCGCTTCTGGCGCTGCGAGTCCCGGGTTGGGAGGGTTCCTCTTGGGTCTTAGGTTTTTTTTGGATCAGTGGGAGCGGGGGATGGCGGTTAGTGGGGTCACTTCGGTTGATGGTCAACTCCGGTCGGCTTTGTCCCCGGCTCTGCTCCCTCCTAATGTTCAGGCTTCTCCCCCTCCTGGGCCTCTGCTCGGGATGGGTGGCGGTACGGTGCCTCTGGGTTCCCTGGCACCCGCGGTGGCCAGTGTTGGCGACTCCTCGGTTGATGCTGGTCTCGAAGGGGGGGGTCTCGGACGTAGCGCGGGGTGCCGCTTACATGTGCTGGTCTGGCCCTCTGGGCTTGCACTTGAAGCAGGAAACGAAGGAAAAAAATTGGAAAGGGGAATTTGTGGAGATATTTTCTCTCCTACCACTGGAGGAAGCTCCTCCCGTGGCGTACAAGGACAGTAAGGAGTCGGAAAAGGATAGGGAGAAGTACCGTTTCCGCAAAATTCCCAAGACCTTTGGGAACTGGATACGGGCGTTCTCTTTTTTGGCCAGCGTGGTTGAGGAAAAGTTTCCCCACAAGTGCTCCGCGCTTTTCTGTTATCAGGACACGATCTGGAACACTTGTCGCACCTATGGAGGGCTGGTTGGTGGAGATACGATGAGCAGTTTCGACAGCGGCTAGCGGTACGTCCCTCGCTGTCATGGGATCAGATGGATATCGGCCTCTGGCTTTCCATCATGACTCGTCCAGCCCCTCAACAAGGGGCGTTTTCGTCCTTTCTTGGGGGGGCCGGTGGGGGCGCGCCTTCCTCCTCATCGGCCTCAGGTCCAAGGTCTGGCTGTTGTTGGAAGTTTAACGACAGTCTCTGTAAGTGGGGGTCTTCATGCCGGTTTAAGCACGAGTGCTCCAGCTGCGGCGGGGCCCATCCTACCTCTCGCTGTTTCAAGCGGGGAAAAACGGGTGAAAAAGGGGACATGGGGGCTAAGGGCGACGACTCCGGTCCTCGTAAACACGATGTGCCCATGGCTCGACCTTTATAGGAATCGGGCCGCGGCGTGGATCCTGGAGGAGGGGTTTGAGCAGGGGTTTTGGATCCCGTTCTCTGAGCGCCCTCCGCTGCTCTCCGTACGCAACCTCAAATCGGTGCAGGCTGTCCCTCAGGTGGTACGGGAAAAGTTGGATTATGAGGTCTCATTGGGGTGGATGGCCGGCCCTTTCTCTGCCCCACCGATGGCTAATTTGCGGGTTTCTCCTTTGGGTGTGGTGCCTAAGAAGGATCCCGGGAAGTATCGTTTGATTCCCCATTTGTCGTACCCTCGAGGGGGTTCGGTGAATGATGACATTTCCGCTGAGCTTTGTAGGGTTTCCTATGCTTCCTTTGATGCGGCGGTTCGCATGGTTAGGGCGGCGGGCCCGGGGTCGTTGCTGGCTAAGGCAGATGTGGAATCCGCTTTCCGGCTGCTCCCAGTGCATCCGGAGTGCCATCATCTTTTGGGGTGCGCCTTTGAGGGTCAGTTTTTCGTGGACATGTGCCTCCCTATGGGTTGCTCGCTGTCCTGTTTCTATTTTGAGTGCTTTAGCACTTTTCTGGAATGGGTGGTGCGGAGGGAAGCTGGGGTGGCCTCCCTCCTGCACTACCTAGATGATTTCCTGTGTGTAGGTCCGGCGGGATCACACGTCTGTGCCCTCCTGCTGCGGGTTCTCGGGGAGGTGTTTCAGCGCTTCGGAGTCCCGTTGGCTCACGACAAGACAGTCGGTCCAGTCACGTGTCTGAGCTTTCTGGGCATCGAAATTGATTCGATGGCAGGGGAATGTCAGCTGCCACAGGATAAGGTTTTGGACCTGCGCCTTGCGGTGTCCCGGGCCTTGGGGCAGCGTAAGATACAGCTGCGCTGCCTGCAGTCTCTGCTGGGGAAGTTCAATTTTGCCTGTCGAATCCTGCCTATGGGGCGCATCTTTAATCGGCGCCTGGCGGCAGTAACGTCAGGGGTCGTTCACCCGCTGCATTTTATCCGGCTTACCCGGCCCTTGCGGGCTGACTTGGCCATTTGGGATTCCTTTTTGGCTTCCTATAATGGCAGGTCCTACAGGTCCCGGAGGTCTCTAACGCCGACCTCCATTTGTTCACCGATGCGGCGGGCTCGGTTGGCTTTGGGTCCATTCTGGGCGCCAAATGGTGCGCTGACTCTTGGCCACAGGGTTTTTGAGTGGGAGGCGGCTCAATTTTTTCAGGGGGATGGGGTACACCTAACGGAGGTCGGGCTCGACCTTTTCAATCTCGCCCTTCAAGAAGAGGTGTAACAGGCCATGGGAGGTTTTGGTGGGGCTCCCCGCTGATATAGGGGTAAAGCATCGGGGGTAAAGCAGCGGGCCTTGCCAATTAAGTTTGAGGGGTCATGTTTAAGGATGGAGTAAGTTTTTATGTTTTGCAGGTCTCAACCTCCCCTGCTTCAAAAGGTTAAACATTAGGTTGCCTGAGGTATCGTGCCCATCGAGCGTGGATAAGGTCGGCTGACGGCGGGCATTGGAAGGATTTTTTATGACGAGGGGGGAGGTGAGAGGAAGTGGTGATTAGGAACCACTGGATGTTTATTGGCAAGGACGGTTGGGTCTCTGCATAGCACTATGATTTAGTTATTATATGTATATATGTTAATTTATGATTATTTATTTCTAACAGAAAGAAGAGTTTAATAAATAAAGTCATGGATGTGTTATGCAGTAATTTATTTATGTTATAATAAATGCTGTGGCCTGTTCATCCATACTAAGTTGTCTGTCGTTATTGGGGGGGGTTTTATTGGGGTTATCTATGTTTATGTGGCATCGTAATTCCCCGCTACGTACATACAAGGCTTTTCGATGCATTAGCAAAAGTAAAAAAGCACGTGATTCGCTACAGTAGTGATCTGGAACCTAACAAGCCCATACTTATTATTATAATCATTATTATTGGTAATTTATATATTTATTTATATAGCGCCAACTAATACAATATTTATATGATCGAGGTGTGCCTGTACTAAATCTTTTTCTGGTAAATTAGAGATTTTCTTGTCATTACTTGCTAACTGTGCATGATGTTCTTTCTTTGATTACCCACAATCAGCAATGTGATAACATTAATGCATTATAATATAATCCCTTTGGGGGATGATCAATCAATAAAGGCAGGTCATCTGTAAGACTCAATATCTATCCAACCTGAATAGCTGCTACTACAATTAATATAATCCCTTTAGAACATTTACAGTAATAATTATGGATGTCATTGATAACACATTACAATTTACAGTTCAACACATTCTAGGATTTAGCAACAGTTTGTTTTTATTCTATATTTTGCCAGAAACTGTGGCTCTTAAAGTGACCAAAACATTTGTTTTTGTTTAAAGGGACACTATAGTCACCAGAACAACTACAGCTTAATGTATTTGTTCTGGTGAGTAGAATCATTCCCTTTCAGGCTTTTTGCTGTAAACACTGTCTTTTCAAAGAAAGTGCAGTGTTTACATTACAGCCTAGTGATACCTTTACTGGCCACTCCTCAGATGGCTGCTAAAGTTGCTTCCTGGTGCAGTGCTGCACAGTGTGCAGTACTGCCGCCATTCAGTGTCTCCACCCTTAATACTTAATATCTTAATACTAAGGTGCAAAATGGTTGCAATACACATCGTTGACCCAATTGGATCCAGGGTCAGATTATCATAGAAACCTAAGCATCCCCTGTAGCTGCCAGATACCCTTTTTTTTATTCAGTTCACCTGACACCAATTTTTTAAAAAAAACCTTAATGGTGACAGGTCCTGTTTAAAAATCATACATACAAACACACAGAAGGCAAAGGGATCCTGAGTTTGACAAGCCCATGTTAAAGGATTTTATATATATATATATATATATATATATATATATCACACACGTGGTGCTAAGGAGCCATTGACACACCTGGTGAAATATTTGTAGTGTTGATATCACATACACAGAGGATTTAGTGGTCACAAGAACTGGGGATCATAGGACCAAAGGATCACAAATACACAGGTTTAAGGGGTCAGAGACACGATCACACACACAGAAAGGTTTAAAGGATTGTAAACACACAAAAGCTAGCTAAGATCTCTCACAAATCACTATCACATCACAGCATGGGGTCCAAACCTGTCTATAATCTGTTACATTGGGACTGTGTAAGGCTGGGTCCCCAACATTGCTGAAAGCCCTAGACACCTGCTTAAGGCTGCCTTATAGGTAATCTCACCCTGACTGGTCATCATTGCAGTTACATTGTATATCTATTTTCTATGCATGTAATTGGTAATTATAAACGAGACTTGAAGACTATTTACAGTTTTGTGTTCATTGATCATTCAACATCATAATATCGCTTGCATTATTCTTTTTCTTTCTTATTTCACTTCTTCTTTGCTATTTCTAAAACCTGCAATGAAAAGAAAAATAGAATATAAATTAAGAAGTAAGATTTGATTTTTTTTATTTGATTTTTTTTGCATTACATTTCTTTCTCATACGTTAATTTCCCTACTTCAAGCTCCGTAAAGTGGACATTTTACAAATTCCTCTTTCTTAACTTTAAATAACTCACAACTATGATTCTAAACTCATTTAGTTGGCTTACAGATAGGGTTAAAGTCTGGTTGCAGTAATTAGTATTTGACATTCTATTTGACTCAGAACCTTAAAAACTGAAGATACATTTGAAGCACCCCTGGGTCTACATCAATGCTTTGTTAGAAAAATCTATCCAGACACTACTTTTATTAAACTTTTTTTTGCAGTAAAATATATATATCAGCAGAGGTAAAATATAACAATAACTTATAGTAAATATGTAGAAACGAAAAGAAAAGACAGAGATTTAAAGTTTTACGTGCAAAGGCCAAAACATAGGAAGTAGAGATGGTGGTCATGGGAATAGAACAACTACCTTTGAGGCGGAAAAAGAAGAACACAAAAAAAACTTAGAGTAGGGGTGGAGAGGAAGGGTAGGGTACGAAAAAAAAAAAAAAAGGAGGACAGAAAAGAACCAAGGAGACGGTCTGGCAAGGACACTGAATTTAGATCCAGAAAATGAAGGTGTCTATCCTAGGAGAACGTGTGTTTTCTTTTAATAAAACCATGATGTGTTCAAATTTCATGAATTGGACATTTAAGCAGGAATTATGAAGTCTGACAAATCTCAATAATCAGAAAATTATTTTTAAACCGTTTCCAAAACTCACCATTGCGTGCAGCTGTGACTGTTTGAAACTGTGTCGTGTTTCTAGAGGATTCGACATGGAATGTGACATTGGAACCCTGGGTTATATTTTCAGTACTACAAAATGGTTCATCACACTTCTTTGTGTTTAGGAATATTACAGTCTCTCCTGTATTGCAGACCTTGTACAAAGTTGAAGGACAGTCTGAAATCACAGAAGAACACCGAGAACCAAACAGGGGTAGGAAATTAGTCCTGGTATTAAACCACTGAGGTTTGGATCCCTCTGCAAGTGATGGTCTAACATCTTTTTTAATAGCACATTCTTTATCATATAGTTGTTCAGATTCTGTGTTTTTGCTCTCAACTATTTCACTTATTTTTTTAGCAGACTCAGTTGTGCGCCCAAGGTCATTAAATTCCACATGTTTGTTGCCAAGCTCACAAGTAATGGATAATGTTGGGTGAGGAACTATTTGCTGATCTCTGCAATCTTGATTCTTGGTTGGGTTCTTTACTCCATGGGGTATGTTGTGCAGTTCTCTTGTTTTTTCAACATGTACATTGTTTTCCTGCTCCATGCTTTTGTCTCTGTGGTTTATATGCATTGATGCAACTTGAGTAGCACAATTCTCCATCATTTGGATCACATTTTTATCACTTGCCCACAGTAATGGAGATAAACACCCTTTTAGATACTGTAAGTCGTGACAATGTAAACTGTTAAGTTTTTCATGTTTAAAACAGGATAATACATCCATATTGCTTAATAGAGGCAAAGAATTAATGTTAGCTAACCTTAATAAATATGGATTGCTTAAGTCCATTCTATGTTTCCCGCTATTGGTTAAATTTTTTAAAAGTGAGATCTGGTCCTTTGAAAGTAACTCAGACATAGGTTGGGGAGGACACTGAAGTCCAGAAAACGGCTCCTCTTGTTGTGAAGTAGAAAAATGATCTGTTTTAGAATGTTCAGAATCATTAGCTAGATAAGGTTTGCCAGAACATCTTTCTTCATAGGTTTGCCACTGCATTGATATTTGCTTTTCGTTGCTTTCATGAATAGAGTCACTTGAAATTGTTAAGGGTGATTTGATATCTTCTTGCTTTTCTGTTTGACGACAATAATTATTGAGGCTTGTTTCTTGGATTTCAATAACTTTGCCTGTTTTCTTTAACCAATTTACCAATCCCATTGTTAAAGACAGCTCGGTGTCACACAGTTTTAAAAAACATTCTTTCCCTTTCCACGTGCTTTGTAAAATGCTGTCTCCAACTAGATCTTTGTCTGGTTGAGAAGCCATACTTTCTTCAGATCCTACAAAAAAACTGTAGACTGATGTAGGGTTATCAGTATGATTTGATAATGAGGACACCACACAATCTGTAACAGGGCTTAGTTTTGTTTCTTCTGATTCATGAAATAACTCATAAAGTGCATCACCACTGTAACTATCTCTTGGAAGTGATCTAGGTGTATCGATAACATTTTTGTCGTCGTCAGTTCCAGGAGAAAAGGAATCATAATACCCTTCATCGCTTGTAGAAACAGGGGATCCAGCATCAGTAACATACTCACTAGAAGAGACTAAGTCATTATAAGTAGAGTTAGAAAGCTGATCTCTAGATACAGTTGGACTTTCCTTTGTTAGTACATCATTTGAAGCTGTCAGTAATTTATTATCAATAAGTGAATTTGGACGTACGCTTTTTGTAGAAGAACCTGCACGTCCACAAAGTTGAGCAAAGTCTATTTTTTCTGATTTAGCCGGTGAAGCTAATCGTTCTACCCCTCCTTGAAAATTACTGGCTAGAGGACATGCTTTGGCGATAAACATTACTCTTGGTCCATCCTTACCTTTCTCCATATCAATGTAAGCTGAGCTTTCATCTGCAAATATTTCCCCACAGCCAGTAAAAGAATCAAAGCTTTTCAATGAAGCCACGTCTTCACATAACACATTGCAAGTCCCAATTGTGTCAACATGCATGTCATTGTCTGATAACTCATGAGTCAACAATTCATCAGAATCCATCTCTTCTGACTTTTTTAAATGCTGTTTTGTTACGCTTTGTCCTGCCTTCATTTTAAATACCTGTGGTCCTAACCTCACATTTTCTGCTATTGATATGACATCTTGCTGTTTATTTTTCTTTAGACTGAATATATCCTTTAAACCTTTTTTAGATCTCTTTAAAGAAATCCTTTTTCTTGGTAAGGATTTGGCCACTGATGGGACAAAAGGCATCTGAGGCACGAAATTCCGATAGTCGATAATATGTCTCCTATAGGCTGATTGTGGATCGTTCCTTCTACGAAGGTCATCACCCGGGAAACTGATACTACTGGAAAGTCTATTTTTTTCAGTTTCTGATATTCCTTGCTCTAGTTTGTGTTCTCTATTGACACAGTCGTGTGTTTTGCTTTTTGTAATACCGGTACATTTTCTGCTATGACAACTGTCCCTTTCTTCATTCACACCTGTTCTACTGGATATTCCTTGCGTATTTGAGTCATTTCTTTTAAAAGTACATTCATTGAAATGTCTCTTGGAATCAACATTCTTTTTTACTTTAACTCCACAAGAGGATACATTTTCAGTAGGATTTTGTGCACAGCTTTTTATAAAGGTCTTGCCACGTATCAACTCCATCTTTACATAAAATGCCTATAAAAGTAAACATTAAAAATGCTTATTAATTACATTAAAATTTAAACTAGATTTTTTTTGAGTATTCATTTGGATTCTTGAGTCAAACAATTATTTTGTATTTTGATTTCAGCAACTTAAACTGTTATTCTTTCAAATAAAGATATTTGGAAAATATCCTATGCGCTTCAAATATTATTTTAAACATGTTTTTTTTTAAAATAAGACACCAACAGGGTGATTTACTAAACCATAAATTGTTAGGAAATCTACAAATAATTGAAAATTCGGAGGGCTATTCAATAACACAATGTTTTAGCTTAGAGAAAATCTTTTTGTGCTGGTAGGCTCCCCACTCTCAAATAAAAAAATAAAATAAAAGTTACATCCATTCCAGCACCAAGGCCATGTTCTTCCCTCCGTCTGGTCCTTCTCCACCAACATAATTTCCCTTCATTAGAGGGGATGGGATGTAGGGGGGGACGGGCTGAGTTAAGGACATATGGTGACACAATGGGGAGGGGGTGCCATGACACCATTAGAAACCATATGGACAGAATTCACATCAGCCGTCCAGAACTCTTGCTCCGGGCTGGCTAGTGACTCCCCAGTGATGGTGCTGGAGGTTAGTTACACCTCTGGCAGCAGAGGAGGTACACTTTATATGTGCATTGTTTCATAGTGAACCTGTAATAGATCGATCACTGTTCCAAATATTAAAGTGATAGCAAAAATGGCATTCTTATATAGTAATCCATGGATATCTTTGTATTAAGCTCCATACCTTAAGGATGATGTAACTTCTCTCCAGGACAAGCAGTTAATTACTCTTACACCTGTAGCTATATTATATGGCTAGAATTTATCCTTGTCACTTAAGTAAATCTCAGCATTTACTATCGCTACTTTATGGTAAATACAGAGGTGTACTCAGATGTTACCAATGAAATAAACCCATATCAAATAGCTTCTTGTGTAAGTATAATTAAATCCATGTGCTTTTATGTCCATTCCTTCAAAATAAGGGAGGAATATTATTATTATTATTATTGCCATTTATATAAAATCATATAAAATCACTACATGTCATGTACTGATATTTCAGACTGTAACCTTAATTTAATATATTTGTATAAGCTTTTCAAATGATTTCATATTTATGGATAAGCTAATTAACTAAATTCATTTTTCAAAATATTAAACCATCAAAAAATACATCCTGTATAAAAAAATAATATATAAAAATATCAAAAATATCTAAAAAAATTAAAAATATTAAATATTAAAACATTTAAAAAATTTATCCAAACGTATTAAATCATTTTAAAAGCGTATCTAACAATATTAAATTGAGGCCTTTATTAGTAGAAAATGAGGTCTTAATCAATACATATAACACATCCCATTGTACAGCGCTTCGGAATCTGATGGTGCTATATAAATAATAAAATAATAATAATCAGTAATCTTTATGGGGACATCTATAGTGCTGTGGAGTACTATACTGGAAGGACTCTCCAACTAAAAAAATCCCTCTGGCAGTGGATCTATCATTTCCTGGATTTTAATGTGTGCTTTTAGATGTATTTTGTATTTATTTTATTCCAAAAACATTGAAATGCTTACACTATAGGTTTGGGATGTGTTGTCTGTGTATTTTATTTATTCGTGTTGCTATACTTCATAATCAATATATATATAAATATACTTTAGATTAAATTTGTATTACCCTACAGCCACGTGAGAAGTCATATTTTACCTAATTATAGGTATCAGCTGATTATATATGTCCTTATATCAGTCAAAGCTGTTGATGCAAATAAAAAAAGACATGATTTTTGTATGTTTCTTATCGCATTAACTGAAATATTCATTTTAAATAAAAATTTTAAAAAAAGAATAACAATATGCCTGATGTCTTTAGAAGCTGACATAAATTGGCACCTTATTTTGCTGCATTTTAAGCTGCGTTTAAATGTTAATGGAGTGTAATCATAATGTAATAAAACAATGCAATTAACAGCAACATGTGATGCAGAAATTAATTTGACTACGAGGAGTGGGACATGTTTTGGAAATTATAAAGGAAAAAGAATGTGATTTTTACAAAACCAATTTGTTAGCGGCCTCTTATGCACTTAAAGAGTTAAATCACAGCAGGGAGGGGTGTGTGTGTGGAAGGGATGGGGAATCAGTTGGAAAGATTCTAAATAAGGGGATACATTCTAAGCAGAATAGACAGTGTCTTTGTAGTTTCAGCTGTGTCTGCCTGGTAACTCATGAATTGCAATCCGTAATTAGTGACTCCTGTTACTGCTGTAAGACAGGGAGGAGAGATGCTCTGAATGCAGGAATGTGTACATGGAAGGTATCGCATCATTCTCATTTCATCAGCCCTTCTCACAATCATTGATTGCTACATGAGCCATTGCCATAGCTGCAGGATTGAATAAAAGAATAAAAACCTGCAGTCGACTTCTAATTCTTTGTAGCCATTAATTCATTACACATGCAAACAAATCCAATGACTGTATTATCTTGCAGGATTACAGTGAACAAAATGTATCCTCCCTTGATGAAGAAATCCCTTTCTGTATGAAAAAGCATCTCTCATAAATAATGTTACAGCGAAACGAGGTTGTGCCGTTAAAAAGAAATGATCTCACCTTGATGGAGGCAGACCCAGTTTATTCCATGTCTTGTTCTCTGCTTATGTCTGTTTCTTCAGGAGGTGACGTTGCACAGACTCCAAGGAAACTGATGCTTCTGCTAAGGGTTCTGCTGCTGGCATCAAGCTCCCACCCCTCTGCAATCTAATGCTTTCAATTTAGCACCCACTTTAATTTGCAAAATGAGCTGTAATGTCACATGGTTTGTTCTAGAACATTACAATCTGGGTTATTGTAAACCAACCCTCTTTTAACTGTGTAGAAAGCACCTGCGTATTTCAGTTTTATATCATTATTATTATTATTATTATTTATATAGCGCCATCAAATTCTGCAGCACTGTATAGTTTACAGGGCTGGCCAAAGCTCCTAGAGCTACTTTCCACAACCCCCCCAGATGTCACACCTTCCATTGCATGTTTCAATCAATTGGATTGGACCATTTAGCTGGCGCAGCGCATATACAGGCAAGTGGAGTGGAGAGGGAGATAGCAAGAGCCGGCACAGGTAAAGAAGAAAAACTACCACAACAAGAGGACATAGTCTTAAATTAGAGGGACAAAGGTTTAAAAATAATATCAGGAAGTATTACTTTACTGAGAGGGTAGTGGATGCATGGAATAGTCTTCCAGCTGAAGTGGTAGAGGTTAGCACAGTAAAGGAGTTTAAGCATGCGTGGGATAGGCATAAGGCTATCCTAACTATAAGATAAGGCCAGGGACTAATGAAAGTATTTAGAAAATTGGGCAGACTAGATGGGCCGAATGGTTCTTATCTGCCGTCACATTCTATGTTTCTATGTTTCTATGAGGAAGGAGCCCCTCAAAAAATTTAATGGAGTAGATAAGGAATTTGGAGGGCTGCAGGGAAGAAGAGAGGGGAGACACAAGCGTCCTCTTGCAGGCCCTGCCTGCAAGTAGAGAATTAAATTATGTCTGTTGCCAGCATGCAGTGCGCGCTGATGACAGACATAGAATATGCACAGAATTTATATTAGGCAATCTGGAACAGAGTTATGGGCTGCCAAAGTCACTTTTGTCAGGATGTATCTAGCCAAATGTGCACATATCTCTGGATGTGCAGTGTTTTAAGCAAAAACCCTGCGAATCCAGATTACTTGCTCCATGACCCCTTCAAAAAGTAGAGTGGTCAAGGACAGGGCCGTCTTTAATATTGATTGGACCCTGGGCAAGCATCTGCTTGGGCCCCCTGGGCATTCAATCACTCCCTCCACCCCAACCTAGAGGCGAAACTAATGTAGAGAGTGCCATGGTGCAAAAAAAATAATAATTCAGGCCTGCACTGTAGCACAAGAGTAAAGAAAAGATAGATCCCCATCTGTCATACAACTCCTGCGATGCTATGCCAGGTGGGGATCTACCATCCTTGCAGGGTTGTATTTTTGAGCAGTGTTTGTGCAATTGAATGTCAGCATGTTATTGTATAGAGTGTATGTGTGCATGTAGGGGTGTATTTGTATGTACTGTTACCATTGGAATGCAGTGGTGTACTTGTGTGTAGTGTTTGCGTTTGAATGCAGTAATATGTGATTGTCTGTAGTGTTGGCTTTTAAATGCAGGTGTACTTTTGTGTGTAGAGTTGGTGTTTGTATATAATTTTAGCGTTTTAATACAGGAATGTGTTTGTATGTAATGTTTGTATTTGCATGCAGGGGGTTGTTTGGATGTAGTGTTGTGTACATTTGTGTGTAGTTTTGGTGTTTCAGCAAACTGGTGTGTTTGTATGTAATGTTTGTGTTTGCAGGGCTCTGTTTGCATGTTGTGTGATTTCTATAACACATATACACATACACATTAACACGCAGATACACACATAGGCACACTGACACATGCTCACACCTTGACACATACTGGCACATACACACACACACTCAGATACACACCCTTTGACACACAGATACAAGCACTTTGATACACACACACACTGGCACATCCACACACAGAGGTACACACACACACTGACACAGGTATGTACACACACACTCAGATACACACTTACATAAAGGTATAAATGCAGGGGTGTATATGTGTACAGTGCTAGAGATGGAGTGTATTTGTGTTGGCATTAAAATGCTGGGATGTATGCATTACCACACACTCAGATGCACACTTACACACACTGACACATACATACACACACACACACACAACACACACACAGGTACACATACACACTGACACACAAGTACACATACACAGGTATACATAAACACAGAAACACTGACACACAGACAAACACAGCCAGATACAAACACTGACACAAACACAGCCAGATACACACACTGACACAAACACAGCCAGATACACACAAGGACATAAACACAGCCAGATACACACACACACATATATATGTGTACATTTACATATTTTAATCTCTGCCTTCTAGCAGCTCTTGGACAGCAACTCCCAGCAACCTTGGCCATAATAATGTCTCAACTCTGTTCTTACATACCCTGGTCCAGAATTTGGCAAAAGTGACATTTGGAAATGGTATACAGCCTTTGATAACACTTGATGCAATAATATGTTAAAATAAATACTTTTAAAATTTATATTTAATAGGGAACTGTCAGGTTCTTCTAGGATTTTTAACATGTACTTATTCCCTGTGTGTTACATTACAAACACCAACACTTGAATAAAAGTGATATCAGAAATAAACAAAACAAAAAAACAAAACATATTTAGCCACCCTCCTGTCTCCTTACCTTTTGGGTACAGAAAGGTAGCTTCCCTGGGGTCCAGTGGGAGCTTGTTGGCCCAGGCTGATGGGAGTCTGCCATCAGCTTTCTCAGTCCCTCTCCCCAACAATGCTTGCATCCTCCTCCGTGTGGTGTGTGGCTCCTCCCCAGCGGCACTGAGGAGGAAGTGATCTGACCTCACTGCCTCCCAGCATGCCACAGAGAAGAAAAGGGATCACAGGGCAGTGTGTGAGGGGCTAGCTGTGTGTTTGTATTCAGCCAACCCCCATATTACAAGGGCCCTGTCCAGAGCAGTATTAAAGGGTTGTGGCCCCTGATTACCTCAGGTGCTGCAGGGGGCCCATGGGGCAGCTGCCTTAGGGCCCCCAGGAGTAACTGGGCCCGGGGCAGCTGCCCCTTTTGCCCCTCCTTAAAGACGGCCCTGGTCAAGGATGTTGGAGTAACCCTGTAAAGCCAGATTATCCAAACTGAAAGCATATAGAATTTTATTTCCAGTTTGGATAAGGGGACTAATGCAGTACAGGATATCAAGCAGGTATGTTGATGCTGCTTTGGATAATCTAAGATGTTCTTAAAGATAAAATGGCATTTGGAAGGTAGCTGTGGATTTTAAAAGGCTTGTCACATAGGTTGCCTCTTACAGGAATAGAGCAAATTATGTTTTTCTGGTGCTGTGACCGTGGAAAGTCTCACTTCAAGATTTTGCCTGAATCCCCACTTATTATGTATATAATATGGTATTGCTGTGTATTTTAGTGTTAAAGGGACATAATAGTCACCAAGACAACTTTAGCTCAATGAAGCAGTTTGAGTGTACAAATCATGCCCATGCAGTCTCCCTGCTCAATTCTCTGCCATTTAGGAGTCAAATCACTTTGTTTGTACAGCTCTAGCCACACCTTCCTGACTGACACAGAATTCCAAAACACTTCCTTGGCCAGCAAACTCGCCTGACCTGAACCCCATAGAGAATCTATGGGGCATTGCCAGGAGAAAGATGAGAGACATGAGATCGAACAATGCATAAGAGCTGAAGGCCGCTATTGAAGCATCCTGGTCTTCCATAACACCTCAGCAGTGCCACAGGCTGATAGCTTCCATGCCATGCCGCATTGAGGCAGTAATTGCTGCAAAAGGGGCCCAAACAAAGTACTGAGTCCGTATGCATGCTTATACTTTTCAGAGGTACGATATTGTTCTATGTACACTCCTTGTTTTATTGATTGCATGTAATATTCTAATTTACTGAGTTTGTGGATTTGGGGTTTTCATGAGCTGTAAACTATAATCATCGCACTTATGACAAATCACGGCTTGAACTATCTTGCTTTGTATGTAATGCGTCTATCACATATATTAGTTTCCCCTTTTTTTACGTTGCATTACTGAAATAAATGAACTTTTGCACGATATTCAAATTTTTCGAGTATCACCTGTATGTACATGTATAACCTGTATGTATCTTGCATGTCTTATGTTGATGTGTTGCAGTAAGTTTACTGCTGTTTTCAACTTAAAATGGCTGTTTCAGTCACCAATGTCACAAATATATCTGCATAGACTAAAAACTAAAATGGTATATTTGTAGAAGTCATGTTTTTCAGCAGGGATTTAAAATGTACTCCATTTAGAACGTGTATTTTTCTTCATGTACCTCAGAGGGCTTCAGAAACAAACTACCTGCTTAAAAGACTTGATAGATCACAATTCTCTTCTTGACTTGAATAGGGAGATTTGGGGATATTTTCCTGGCACCTTTCTAAAAGTGCATAGAAGACCTCAACGTAGATGTCTCTGAGGGATAAATGAGTGAACCAGTTACTTGATTAAACTGCTTGTATACCAAAAACGTATTAATCATCTAATAAAGAGCATGTTTTAATGAACGTTTAAAAAATTAGACTCATTCTTTGGGAGTCAATGGCTGCCACTTATATGTTTGACCATTGCCAAAGCAGTCAATGATGCAACTGTCCCGGCAGCCATTTGGAAAACTGCTGCTTGCACCTGAGACAGCTCTTGGAAACCGGTGGAGAGGTGGTTGTGTCACACCTTTGATCTGCTTGATAACAGTCCTTGGGTTATGGAGAACAATCCAATTAGCCTGTTTTTAAACGACTCTGTCACCAAGCCCACCATCTTCCTGCTGAACTTATAGGTTAAATAATTTCCTTCCAGCCTTACCGGGCCACAATACTGTTTTCTTAATCTTTAAATATCTTAAGGTTTTTTAACAATTATATCAAATATCACTCATGATGTAAACCCTTTTTTTTACTGGCTGTCTTATATCCTTTTCGTGGCTCCAGATTGTCATGTGGCCATAGCTGTCTAAAGATTGGGCATGCCCAGGGGCCACACAAGCAAAGGGGATACATAGATTTGCCAACTTTTTAGTATATTATTCCGGGAGATTTATTCAGAACCTTCAAACCCTATTTATAAAAATGTTTAGGTGGACTAATCACCTCAGTAACAGCTGTTATCTGTACATGCAATCTTGCTGTTGTGAATACATATCTTGACCTTGACCATGAACTTTAAAAAAAAAAAAAAATACAATTTAAACACTGATTTTGTTGGAGGTACCAATGAATATAAGCTTCATTTTACCAATAATTAACATTTCCATTCCTATGAGTGGCTGTTTAGGCAGGGATGTAGACCAGCATATTACAACATCAAATGTTCCCAAATTCACCACATTAAGAATGATAAACTCTGGGTGGAATCCTGATAGGCTGATGGATATTGTATGCTTTTAATTGGGGCAAGATATTATGACGATAAGTTCTTATTCTCCATTGGGCTTAAGGGCCAGATTAAGGGTGTCATGGGCCCTGGAGCTGAGTGTATGGATGGGTCTAATTACATAGGAATACTAAAGGGATACTAGTAGCACCAAAACAACTTTAGCATAATGAAGCAGTTTGGTGTATAGGTCATGCCCATGCAATCACACTGTTCAATTATCTGCCTTTTATGAGTTAAATCACATTGTTTATGCAGCCCTACGCACACCTCCCTGGATGTGATTTGTACAGCCTTGCTAAACACTACCTGGAAAGTGAGATCTAATGTTTAAAGGATATTATAGTCACAACAAATAAAGCTTAATGTAGTTGTTCGGGTGTCTATAGCCTGTCCCTGCAGACTTCTTAATGTAAGCATTGCCTTTTAGAAGAAAAGGCAGTGTTTACAGAACTGCCTAGTAACACCTTGTTGCTTTGATGCCTATAGTGTAGCTTTAAAGAACACTTCAAGCACCATAACCACTACAAAGTGCTAAAGTAGTTATCTTGACAGAACTGCCTAGGTGCCGCCTATTGTTAGTATTCAAACCCTTCTAGAACAGTTTGACATATTACCTGGGGTTCCTTTAATGTCATTCTATTTTTTACCACCATTTTTTTTTTACCAGTCTCTGTTTCCAGTTTCTTTTACCCTGGTCTTTTCTTCCTACAATTTCTGTCAAATTCTCTTTTACATACTGACAGTTTCCTTTTAACCCTTTCACTATGGGACAAGTGTATAAACTATTTTCAGAGTATGGACTCATTTATTTTTTTGAATGCACAAACAACGGACTTACTATTATAACTACCAGATTTGGCAAAGGTTGGTGATGTAATGATTAAATGGAAATTGACAAAATGCTTGTAGTTAGATATTCCGGATTCTGTTGTTTTGTTTTTGTTGTGCTGTGATTACTAAAAAACCTATAGTTTCAGCCAACCAAATATTCAGAAGGTTTAGCGTTAGATTTGTAAATCACTCCTTGCAATATTTGTCCTATAACTTCCAAAAATTTACTTTTACATTAAATTTTAATAATCAGGACTAATAAGTGACTCTATTTTGAGTTAATTTTCTTTAGTTGTATTAAATTAGTCATTAATAATTTACTTATTATGGACAAAACTGTGTAAAAAGTTTTTTTTAATGTTTTAAATATTTTAATTATACTTAATACCATGTTACGTATAGATAGTGGACCTCAGAAGGAGCAAAATCTATACACAGAATATACACCACCAGTCACTATCAAAGGTAGGAAATAGGTTCATATTGGTTCACAGGTCCAAAACTATTTATACATACATGAAATAAACTATCAATCTATCTCAGAAGATCTGAATACCTCCAAGCAAGGTTATTCTCTAAACTGTCAGTGGACAGCCATCAGGGCCCTTCAGATGTCAGCCGCCATCCCCATGACCTCCATTTTCAGTGAGACAGTCACTAGAGGCTGGATTAACCCTCAATGTAAACATAGCAGTGCTATGTTTTTAGCTGCAGGGTTAAAACTAGGGGGACCTGTCACCCAGACCACTTCATTGAGCTGAAGTGGTCTGGGTGCCTATAGTGGTCCCTTAACTTTAGGGGGGAAAAAACAACTATTAGCTGATAATGACTATTGAGATTTTTTTTACTGGGAAAGTAGGGTAAGGAGGAATTAGTTTTTGTATCTAGTAGTATCAGTTCTACCTCTTCGCCTCCCCCTGGTTAATGGTATTAGGTGCTGAGGCAACTGGACATTTTGAAATCTTGGAGTGTTGAAGGAAATTGCCCCAACTGAGGATACATTTCGGACATACTCAGTCTGATCCTAGAAGGGTTTTCTAGCATTACCTATTCACTTTTCTCTGGAATGTATGAGCATGTACACCATATAAAAAAGG